GATCGTACTACTTATAAAGTTAATAAAATATTTCCCTTGGATTTAACCATGAATATATAAAATAACTTTCATCCACACATGGCAGAGAAATAATCGAAAACTCATCATAACATACTTTATCAACTTATTTATAAAGGAATAATGATTAATCGGTAAGCCCTAAAAAGTTTAGTACAAATTTATGTTTTATCTAAAAAGAACTAAAGACATATTCTATATATTTTTCATATATTAAATAAATAAGAAAATATGCTAACATAAATTAATCTAAGAAAATCTAATTAAGTTAACTAATCAATTTTTTTTTTGTATTTTTATTAAATAATATAGACTAACGAAAGAAGAAAAATTAATTCCTAAATTAATTACTTAAAGGCAGTGAGATAAAAAGAAGATTTTTTTATGTTTTTAATTAATAAAACAAAAAGAAAATTACTTTTATATTTTTAGATTTTTTTATAAGATTAAAATAAATAACTTAGATTAAGTTGAAATCCTAATAATTGGATTAATAAAACTAAACTAATGCTTTTTGTATATATTTTTTATATTTTAAATAAAACATTAAAATAAAGTAATGGTTTTAAATAATTAAAAGAAGAAAAAAATTAGGCAATTAGTAACAAGGGGAGAATTCGTCTCTGTTTGCATTTCAACTTTATTTACTAATGTTTGGCTATCACGTGACATGGCATATAATTAGGAAAATAAAAATTAAAATAGTATTAGTAACATAGATAAAGGCTATCAGAGAAGGGAAAGTTGTGAAAACCAAAATCCCTCTTCCTCACCATAAAAATGAAAATTACAGTAACCAAAAAGAAAAAAAGAAAAAACCAAAACCAACACATTCCAGAACAAATCTCACTTATTCTTAGTCACACAATATAAGTAAACAAACATAAATCAAAATGGAAGCAAGAGGAATACCGACAAAATCAAGCCACAAGGATCGTCGAAATCAGAGGGCGTTCGCGGTGGGTTGTTGGAGCTGGGACAGGCACGACTGGGGGATTTCGTCAGAGGGACTCGATTGTAGATTCACATGGTGGCAGCGGGCTTTGTGTGGTGATTTTTGTGGTCGCCGATGGTTAGTTGCGGCGGAGATTTAAGGATTCGAAGCAACATCGTTTTGTTTTTTAGATCTGCAATTCTATCGGAGTCTCTCCGATGGGGCTTCAAAAAAAGTGAGTTTCCTTCTTCTATTATTGCTTCTGTTTCTGTTTTGTTTGAGATTTGTGGTGTTTTGGACGTATGAACTGTGCGCGGAGGGAGTGTTGAGTGATGTTACACTGTGAGGAGCTTCGATTTTGAGGTGTTGGTTTTCTATGTTACAGATTAAGATTATTGAGGTTACACGTTGAGGTTTGTATGAGGGAACTTAGAGGGTATTGGATATGGAATTTGAGCAGAGTTTAATGTGTTTTTCTTTGGTTTTCAAAAGATAATTTTGCATGATGTTTAAAGGTTGTTATTTGTAAGTTGAAGGTTGATAGTGTTTTGAGAAAAGGTTTTTTGATATGAGAAAATTTTGTGAACTTTCTGTCTTTTTTTCGTCTCAATTCAACTGCAGGTTGAGATGTATATTTTTTTTTGGTTTTTTCTCCCTTGTTTCAGTTAACAAGGTCTGAGTTTTATAGAGAGGAAAAAGGATGAATTTTGGGGGGAAATGGTTGGTAAAACATGAACAAATACAGTGCCTCGTTTCATCTCCTTTTGATGTAGTTTTTATTTTTCTACTTTTGTGCAAGTTTTGATAGATTTAGACTGTTTTTTCTGGACTGTTATGACAGGTTGGTAGCAGGTTTTGGAGCTATTGTGCAGCAGGTTTTTTGGATAAATTTTCAGCATGATAGCAACAAGTTTGCAGACTATTTTTTTGGACTGATATGCAGGGTTTGGAGCAGCATACAACAGGTTTTTCGGACATTATTTGTGCAGAATATTTGACTTGTTTTGGACTGATATGCAGAGTTTGGAGCAGCATACAACAGCTTTTTTGGACATTATTTGTGCAGAATTTTTGACTTGTTTTTGGACTGATATGCAGAGTTTGGAGCAACATACATCAACAGTTTTTTTTGGCATTATTTGGCAGCAAGATAGTAGCATAGAAACAGGATTATTTTGGTGGTTTAGCATAAAGATTTTATGTAATTTTAGCACTTTTAGGACTTAGGAATTCATGTGTTTGTGTATGGTTTTATAATGAGATATGAAATGGTGATGATTTTGTAATGGAAGTATTTTGTAATCTCTTGGATTCACATGAATGAAAGTATGAATCTTGAATGACATTCTTGAATAAATTCTATTCCCAAATGATCTTGCTCTCTTAATTTAATCTCTATTCCGAATTGACACACAATTTGATTCCAATTAAAATTTGTGTCGAAATTTGTCTTTGAATTTGAAATGCATGAATGATGAATGAAGTTTAATTCTTGAGAAAGGTCTTGAATAATTCTTGATATTTTGAACAATTCACATTAATGAACTTGCACTCTTGGAATAAACTTCGGGAAATTGGAATGCATCTTACTCAAGACATCAAATTCATAAACCTTCTTGAATCTCTCTTGCAAATAAGAACCCTAATGTTATTTGACAAACTCGGATATTTTGGCTTTATGGTATTGGTTACTTGAAAGAAAACTTCACAACAATGAATTCAATCTTGATTCAGATCTCAAATCTAAGTTAACTTGCAAACCACAAGAATTCGAAGAATTCTCAACCCTAACTCGCGTCTTCACCTCATAGTAATTTGCAATACAAACCAATAGCGCAAATCGTGCCTTTAAGAAATTTAATCGACAATCCACCTTAATCCAAGGATCGCTACAGTTCAATTGCAAAATGACTTGAAGTAGTCCACAAGCAATCAAAGAATCATTGGACTAAAACTCCAGCTTCATGAATTATCCCAACAGAAAAAATCAAACGTTCTTGAGAAAACGTCTGTGGCATGACTTGAACCTTAATCTTCGAAGTAATCTCATAAACAACGCTATTTGTGATAATTTGCAAAAGAATCGCCTCAGGACGTTGAAAATTGAAGAAGTTATGACCGTTTGAAATTGAACTTGCAAGAGTTGACTTTTGGTCGAAATGCTTTGAATCGACTTGCAAACTTGATCTTTCTTCGCATTCTAAAGCATCTTGATGCACATGTAAACCAATGATGATGAAATCTTGACTGTGCTTTGGGGAATTTTGGAAGAAGCTTGAGACCACTTAACGAACAAGGTGTGGAAATAAACACACAATCCTCTGAAGATCCTTGAGACAGAAGCTATCATACTTGAAACAACTGTGATCAAAATAAGCCTGAACAAAGCTTTAGAAGTCGTGTAGTGATACATAGGCTAAGAATGTTTAGAATACTTGAAAATTTCTGCATAGTCAATGCTCGAAGGTGAGAGGTTAAAATCGACCGTATTTAGTGACCTTAACTTTTGTACAAAAATGCAAAAATAAAAATGGGATCTTAGGTCAAAAATTGGGGTATGACATGACCTAAGTTCAATCTTCAAACATCATTGATCATTTATTATGGAATTCATCTCTTATTCATCCCCTTTCCTCTTTACTTTTTATTTTTACTTGTGCTACATATTTTAGGAGCTTGGTTTCTACCATGTTTCTAACATGTATGGTACATACATTTCTATTAACCGGCCTCAAAATAGGTGCGACTTCTACATAAGCTCACTTACGATTTCTTAACATAGTAATAAATTTGTCCTGTTTCGAAAAATAATCATTTGTGGCCCAAACTTTATGTTTGTAAGCTCAAATATGGTTTATTAGTTATCTTTAGTCAAATACCTATGAAACTTGTTGTTAGGAGGCTTTGATTTTATCAATCTTCTAATGAATTTTCATTATCCTTGGTCTAAGATCATCATTCAATCATCGCTGATCTAACTTTGTAACTATTAACAATTAACTTACTAACCATTAACAATACTTTACTTTATGCCTTTATCTTTATGCCTCTTAGGTTATGCTTTTATTTTTATGCACATCTTTAACATTTATATTTCATGCTATTTTCCTTTTGCTCGCTTGAGAATTTATTTTTATGTCATTTTATCTTTGTTCACTTTGAACTTTTATTTTATTTTGACGATATTTAATAACCAACTTGGACATTAAAAGATTTAAGGCTCTTTATGGACTATTGGTTAATATCCTTGGCATATTGGATTTGTGGACTCCTTGGGATTAGGATTAGAAGCTTTGATACTTTGAGACCTTGAGACATTTGGACCTTGTGTTACTTCATTGTTATTATGCTTGTGTATTGAGAAATCTTATGTGTGCAGGTTTTTATTCTATTGGCCTTAAGTGATCTATATGGCACGCAACTCAATATTGAAGACCTTGCTTTTGGTTTTAAAACCTTGGGGTTTCTTTGATACTTCTTTGCTTGTGATTTACTTTCACATGGATAATTGGTATGCTATTGGTCTATTTGGTACTTGTGGCTTTTAATCCAAAGGATGAGAATTCTACATTGACTTCATAATGTCAAGTGTTGACTTCTTATTTGGTTAGACCTTTCCTTACCTTAGATTTTACTTTGTGCTTTAGGATAGTCTCTTCATCTCCTCCCATTCTTCTTTAATTTTCAAAATCTTCTCCCTTTTTCAAAAGATTCTTATTTTCTAACTTGAACCGTTTTCATAAAAAACTTAGATTTAGGTTTTCATAAAAAACCTTGATAGATAAGAAATATACAAATGATGTAATATCAATCACAACCGACAAATTGAGAATTTTATTAAAGTGAAAACATTTACTAATACACAACACAAGTTTCCTCAAATCAAATTATAAAATTACACAATATGGTAAGATTATGCCAACACAGTTGAAATATAGATAGGTGTAGTTATTTATATGTGAAGGCTTCTATGAAATGGAACACAACTTTTTAAGCATGGTACTTCAATGGAACACTTGGGATAGATTAATTTTTCCTCTCAATCTGATTAATGAAATGGCTTAACAATTGGAATCACCTTTGGAATAGGTTTGTAAATTGGAATCACCTTTGAAATAGGTTTGTAAATTGGAATCGCCTTTGGAACTGGCTTATAAATTGGAACATAAACATGTTTAACAATGGGAATAATAGGCTTTTTGAAGAAATAATGCTTATGCTTGAGAAATGATTCTGGTTCAACAACACAGGGGCTAGGTTTGTCCACTATGGTTGTTTTGTGGAATGGCGTATAGGTTGGGATGGGCTTATAATAAATTGGTTTCTTGTGAAAATATCCTTTGAGTTTGTGTTTAAAATAAAAATATCCTATGAATTTTTCATCTTCATTTGGTCCTTTTAGGCTTGGCTTTGTCACCCCTTCATTTGCAAGCTTCCCTTCTGGCTTCACTTTAGTCTCTACAGAAGGAATGCAAAATTACTATCACAAGGGACAACAAATTATATATTTCATTCACGTCATATTTTAATATTATAAATTTCTATATACTTCTATTTACCAAAAATGGGAAAAATATAAATGTGTACTTTATATTGATATTTTGGACATGAATGTGTGAATATGAAAATAACAACCCTGAGGGGTCATTTCTTGCTAAAACAGAAGTAGCATAAAAGAATGTTACAAGAAGTAATAAAGGAACACAGAAAGCCTTTTTCATGATTGAGAAAATAAACAAAAATGGTTTAGAAGTGGAAGCTGAATAGGAAAGCTTGAGTTACAATTCTCACAAACATGCATTATTTATACTATAAGCTGGTATAGGATAAATAATGCTACATGATAAGTGACTTATACCTGTATTATTTCCAAGATTATTGGTGGCTGATAATTGTGTTTATCACCATTTTTGTGGCTGAGTTGGTGATTTGTTATCATTCCATTAAATGAGCCTCTAAAGTTGAATGGTAGGATCACGCAGAGAGATACTATTGTTGGAATAAAGGATTCAATAAAGATGATTTTGTGAAAACAAGAAGGAGAGGAAGAAAAGAGAGAGAAATTATGAGTTAGTTAAGCGTAACTAACTTTCTAACTGACTATATTATTATTGTTTTTCTTTTTGATTACAAACATAATAGCCCTTTATATAGGCAAAGTGCCCAGGCCCAAATACACATGTTAAAAACCCAAATATAACTGAACAAGAATTATAAAACTAACACACCCCCTAATTCATGTTATTGAGACTTCTCATCCCGATGCATTTCTTTAACTCTTCGAACCTCACTTTCTTCAGAGGTTTGGTGAATATGTCAGCTAGTTGCACTTCTGTCTTACAATGTTTTATTTCGAGCTTCCCTTTGTTGACTTGATCCCTCAGAAAATGATATCTTCTTTCAATGTGCTTACTTCGACCATGACACACTGGGTGATTCGCAAGGTTTATAGTTGACTTGTTATCAACAAACAGCTTCATCTTCGATTCCATTATTCTGATTTCTTCAAGTAGCATTTCGATCCATGCTGTTTGGCATACAGCATATGTTGCAGCCACATATTCTTCTTCGTATGATGACAAAGCCACAATTCTCTTCTTCCTCGAACTTCAGGAGATTGGAGCTCCTTCAATCATTAAAATGTATCCTGCAGTACTCTTCTTTTCGTCTTGATCTCCACTGAAATCTGAGTCAATGTATCCATGAACTTTGACATCTGGGTTGTTCGTCAATTTCTTTGGTAACAACACACCATGATCAATAGTTCCCTTTATGTATCTCAACACCCTCTTTACTGCAATGATATGACATTCTTGAGGCTTCTCCATAGATCTGCTCAACAATCCTAGACTTTGGCAGATATCTAGTCTAGTATTTCAAAGATACCTCAAGGATCCAATGATTTGTTTATAAAGGGTCGAACTTACAAATTCATCATTCGATTCCATTTTCAGCTTTGCTCCAGTGTCTAATGGAGTAACGACTGGCTTACAGTTTCTCATATGGAACCTCTTCAATATATCTTGAGCATACTTTGTTTGATGAAAAAAAAACTCATTCTTCGATGTCTTTGAATTCCATTCCCAGGAAATAGAAGAGATTCCCTAAATCAAACATTTCGAATTCCTGCATTAACTTCGACTTTACCTTCATTATCTCAGCTTCGTCTGCTCCTGTAATGAGTAAGTCATCAACATAAAGACATAAAATGATTCGATTGACACTTTCGACATCATTTACATATACTCCATGTTCAGAGACACACTTTGTGAAACCTGCTTTGATTAGGAAGCTATCTATCCTTTTATTCCAAGCTCTAGGAGCTTGCTTTAAGCCATAAAGATCCTTCCTTAATTTGTAAACTTTTGACTCCTGCCCTTTGACGTTGAAACCTGGTGGTTGAGTAACGTAGACTTCTTCTTTCAATGGACTATTCAAGAATGCTGACTTTACATCGAGTTGGTGCATTTTCCATCCTCTACATGCAGTTATCGAAACAACAATCCTGATTGTTTCGATCCTCGCAACAGACGAATATACTTCATCGAAGTCAATACCAAGTTTTTATAGAAAACCTTTGGCCACCAGTCTCGCCTTATACTTTACAATCTCACCATTTTGGCCTTCGTTTCACCTTGTAGATCCATTTCACATCGATTGGTTTCTTGTTGGTTCTTTCGACAAGCTCCCAAGTCTTGTTCTTCTCAATTGCTCTAAGTTCTTTCTTCATGGCTTCACACCAATTCTAATTGCTCAAGGATTTGCCCAAATCAATTGGTTCTTCTTCAGCCATCATCATGGCTTCTTCGATTAAGTCACCATCTGCATCGATTGCTTAATCTGGAAACCTCTCATATCTAATCAGCCTAGTCATCTCAGTTCTTGTTCTTGTGGATCTCCTTTCATTCCGCACATGTGGTTATTCATTTCGACCAGTCGAAGTATCACCTTGTTCATTTCGACTTGTCAAAGCTTTGTTCTGTTCGTTTTCTTCAAACACAGTTGTGACTGTGTCTGATTCTTGTCGAAATGAACTTCGACTCCAATCCCACCCTTTGCTTTCGTCTACAAGAATATCTCTGTTGATCACTAGTTTATATTCGATTGGTGAATACAACTTGTATGCACCAGTCGGATGATAACCTATGAGCACCATGACTTCACTTTGATCATCCAGCTTCTTTCTCAATTTTTCAGGTACATGCTTGAAACACATTGATCCAAAACTCTAAGATGACTTAAATTTGGCTTCGACTCTGTCCAAGCCTCATGCGGTGTCTTTTTGACCATCTTCTTCGTTGGGCATCTATTTAGAATGTATACTGTTGTCAAAGCTGCTTTAGCCCAAAATCTCTTAGGCATATTCTTAGCTTTCAACATACATCTCGTCATGTTCAGTAAACTTCTATTCTTTCTCTCAGCTATACCATTATGCTGAGGCGTATATGGTGTAATAACCTCATGCTCTATACCTCCTTCATTGCAAAATCTATCAAATTCAGTAGAAGTATATTCACCACCACCATTAGTTCTTAACTTCTTCAATTTGCAGCCACTTTGTTTCTCAGCATGCAACTTGAACTTCTTGAACTGTGTGAATACCTCACTTTTCTTTTCAATAAGGTAAATCCACATATGTATGGTGAATTCATCAATGAAAGTAAGGAAATACCTGTTACCCCCATTCAAATTTACTTCAAAGGGTCCACACACATCTGAATGAACTAGCTCCAGTTTTTTCCTTGATCTTATAGAAAAGTCACGTTTGAACGCCTTCCTTACCTGTTTAGATTTGCAGCATTCCTCACATATCTGCTTTGGTTCCTTCACATACGGTAACCCAAGCACCATTCTTTTCTGATTGAGCACACATAAACTCTTGAAGTTTAGATGTCCATACCTGTAATGCCATAGCCAGTTCTTGTCTTCTTTTGTAGTTGAAGCAAGACATTTATAATCTGATGTGTTGAGTTCAATCTTGAATGTTTTGTTCTCCGGCAATGGTGATTTCATTATTAGCCTCCCATCAGTCCTATATACCTTCATTTGATTATTCTCCAATTTCATATTGAAGCCTTTTGCAAGTAATTGACCTACACTTGTCAAGTTACTTGTCATCAAAGGTACATATAGAACTTCAATGATAGTAGCCTTTCGACCATCCTTTTTGATAATCAAAATATCTCCTTTACCACCTGATTTGATATGCCTGCCATCTGCAAACTTTATCACCTTTTCGATTGATTCATCTAACTTGGTAAACCATTTTTTATTGCCATCCATGTGGTTGCTACATCCTGAATCCATATACCACATGTTGTTTTTCTCAGCAGTCGAGTGAGTGTTCACCAGCAATAACACATCATCAAAATCATTATCTTCAGCTCGTGCATATTGAGCTTCATCACTGTCTTTCGACCTTCCAGCTTTCTTTCTTCGACAGTCTCTAGCATAGTTGCCAAAACCTTGACAATTGTAACATTGCACCTCTTTCGTGTCAACTTTCTTCCCAGAATACTTGTTACCCACACCTTACGAATAAGTATTCTTGCTTGACTTCTCATCACCAGCAAGATTCTTTCGCTGCTTTGACTTCTCTTTTCCAAATTTCTTGTTGAATCTTGATTGCAATGCTTGTTCAGTTGCCTTCTCTCTTTCTGAGTTTATTTGTTGCAACGTCATTTCGTGAGCTTCCAATGAAGCTTGAAGTTCTTCCAACTTCATCTCAGATAGATTCTTGGCCTCTTCAATTGTCACAACGAAGTAATCAAAATCTGCAATTAAAGATCTCAGTATCTTTTCTATCTTTTGCAGATCCGTAAACGCTTCACCACATGCCTTCATCTGGTTTGTTATCGTTACAACTCTTGAGAAATATGCAGAAATAGATTCATCCACTTTCATCTGAAGCATCTCGTACTACTTCCTCAGTATTTGTAACTTCACCTTCTTCAGTTTCTCATCTCCACCATACAAGGATTTCAGCTTTTCCCGAGCTTCTTTGTTGTTTCTTCTTCAATTATCTTCTCGAATACTTCACAACCACACACTGATGAATCAAGAACAGCGCCTTGCCATCTTTCTTCCTCTGATCTTTGTGTGCAACTTTCTGAACTTCCGTAGCATCTACTTCCAGTTCTGATATTCCATCATTCAAGATTTCTACGACATCTTGAAATCTGAAAATAACCTTCATTTGTGTAACCCACCGTTGATAGTTTTCACCTTTGAAAACCGGTAGATTCGCTGAAAACTGTGTTGATGTTGTTGATCCGTTTGCCATTAGGTTCGCTCTGAATCGCAAACAAGCTCTTGATACCAATTTGTTGGAACAAAAGATTCAATAAAGAGGATTTTGTGAAAACAAGAAGGAGAGGAAGAGAAGAGAGAGAAATTGTGAGTTAATTAAGCGTAACTAACTTTCACTACAAGAAAGATGGTCCCCAGCGACATATATTAGCGACGTGGTTATCACGTGAGTAATAAATGCAGTTGCGACGTGATAACCACGTCACAAACATATTTTAATGATAAATAAAGCAAGTCAGAGAAGGTTGTTTAGTAAAAAAATCAGCGACGTGTCTTACACGTCGCTACAGAAAACGAAAATTTAATATGTATAAACTCTGAGACATTTAGTTGGAGGGA